TTCAGGCTGAATATAGCCTGTGGGAAAAAACTGTTCTTGTGCCTGGCTGTTCTGGTAGTCAGTGCTCTGTAGCGCCGGCCAGAAGGCAACAGTTCGTGGACTGGGTGGACTGGGTGTAAGGGGTCCAAGGTGATTTTCTCCATTTTGTTTCTTTGGTAAGAAAGCCATCATAAATGTCATAAATGTGATCATGTTTTGACAGTGCAGTGATTGTTTTCAGTGTTACTCACCGAACTGATCTGGATTCTTTAACCACCGGTAACAGATTCTGAAGAACTTCATCTGCTGTATGTTGTTCTCCAATAAACTGTTTCAGATCAAACACATCCATCTTCTGCTCTGATGTCAGCAACACATAAACCAGAGCTGACCACTGTGAAGAGGAGAGTTTGGTTTCTCTTATTTTTCCAGATTTCAGATAATCTTGGATCTCCTGCATCAGTGAATCATCACCCAGTTCATTCAGACAGTGGAACAGATTGATGGATTTCTCTGGAGAGCGATTCTCTCTGATCTTCTGCTTTATGTACTGAACTGTGTCCTCTTTGTTGTAGGAGCAGCTTTCTGTCTGTGTCAGTAGTTTTCGTAAGAGAGTCTGATTGGACTCCACTGTTTTCTGACAATTTTTACTTTACATTTACTTTAAATGTTTTATACAAATATCTGTATTTTCAAACAAGTTACTTTAGTTCATTGTCAGCCTTTTTCAACGTAATATAATACAGATAACACTACCCCACTTGACTGAGAAATTCGAGACATTCCAGGGCTGTACAGGGCGACATATATGTCGCACCACGTGCTATGAAAAAATCGGTCTGTGCGATGAATAATAATAATAATAATAATGAATAATTCAGAAGAGTAGCACACATGCTATACAATGTGTATCTGAGCCTGTTTAAAAACCTGTTGTTAAATAAATTACATGTTTTTAGTCCAAATTCACTTAATAACATCAGTCGAGTGTTTGAAATAACTGCCTTTTGTGATCTAACATGGTTTCATATCACAGAATGTGGCAGAAATCATACTATTATATAATTTTATACAGTGATAAAAGTCGATTAGCATTACATTATAAATATACTTTATTCTTGAATAAAGCTCCGCTAGAGGGCACTCCATCCCATACCTTTGCCACTCAACCCCAGACTCCATTTCCCATAACCCTCTGCCTAGGAACTCGTTATTAGACTTCAGCTGTTTCCAATCAGGAGGACTATAAAGGTTGCACTCACACACATCGCTGAGTATTGTTTAGCCTATAATGTTTTCTAGTTTCCATTTTTCATGCTTGTGTTTTCCTTTGCCTTTGCATTGCCTTCATGTATTTTGGATCTTGGACTGTTTACCTGTTTTTTTTTTACGATTGTTTTGCTGCCTGCCCTGACCATTGCCTATTTACGGATTACTCTTTTGGATTACCTTGGATGTTACTGTTTGCTGGTATTTTGACCCTGCCTGTTCTTGACTACTCTCTTTAAATAAAGCCTTGCACTTGGAAATGTTATACCTGAGACCAGCAGCACAGATGGGAATTAAAATAGATTTGTTTGGTATCAGTACTTTACTTTACTATTTACTTTTCTGACAATTTTTACTTTACATTTACTTTACATTTTTTACACAAATATCTGTATTTTCAAACAAGTTACTTTAGTTCATTGTCAGCCTTTTTCAACGTAATATAATACAGATAACACTACCCCACTTGACTGAGAAATTAGAGACATTCCCAGGGCTGTACAGGGCGACATATATGTCGCACCACGTGCTATGAAAAAATCGGTCTGTGCGATGACCATCTGCTTTTTTGAGTGTTTTCCCAGACAGCTATGGACACAGCAAGAAGGTTAGTTGGCCTCTGACAGGGAATGCATTCCCTCGAGGACCACATCCAAGACTTTCTGGACATTGCTTACATTTCTGATCTCCCGGACCTTATGTTGATTTTTTTTTGTTATGGACTTAATGAATCATTAAAGACTAAACTCACCCGAGATGGTCCTCGAGGGTCATTTTGTCAGTTTTTGGACTTTGCACTCTTGCAAATTGGTTCCTCCTTTACTGTGGGAGAGGCAGGGGACTGTAAAACCCCTAATAGTTTTGGGAGGGACCAACATCGGCAAGCTCCAGTGGCCATGGAGCTTGGCCCATCAGTGCAACCACCATGTCCAGCAGGGCGACATATATGTCGCACCACGTGCTATGAAAAAATCGGTCTGTGCGATGAATAATAATAATGAATAATTCAGAACAGTAGCACACAGCGATACAGTGTGTATCTGAGCCTGTTTAAAAACCTGTTGTTAAACAAATTATTTTTAAGTCTTTTTTTTATTTTATTTTTAAGTTTAATTGTTTTTAGTCCAAATTCACATAATAACATGTGTCGAGTGTTTGAAATAACTGCCTTTGTTGATCTGACATGGTTTCATATCACAGAATGTGGCAGAAATCATACTATTATATAATTCTATACAGTGATAAAAGTCGATTAGCATTACATTATAAATATACTTTATTCTTGAATAAAGCTCCGCTTTGAGCTCCGCTAGAGGGCACTCCATCCCATACCTTTGCCACTCAACCCCAGACTCAAATTCCCATAACCCTCTGCCTAGGAAATGGTTATTGGACTTCAGCTGTTTTCAATCAGGAGGACTATAAAGGTTGCACTCACACACATTGCTGAGTATTGTTTAGCCTATAATGTTTTCTAGTTTCCGTTTTTCATGCTTGTGTTTTCCTTTGCATTGCCTTCATGATAGCAACTCCTGTGTTTTGTCCTGTGGTCCCCGCACCTGAAACGCATCTCAAGATGGCTGCCAGCCCAGAGATTTTCTCAAATTGGCCACCGTTCCAGAGCCTGCTCACGTCAAGCCTGCCAAGCCGCCTATTCATGTTAGGGCTGTCACTCCAGAGTCCCCGGCCAAGATGGCCACCACGCCTAAACTTCATCATGTCATGGCAGCCACGCCAGAGCCTCCAGCCATCAGGGATGTTAAGCCACAGTCTTCAGCCATCACAGATGCCACTCCAGTGTTCCCAGTCTATGTGAATGTCGCAATGGAAGAGACTCAGGCATTCTACAGGCAATTGAGGCTGATTTCCAGTGTGGCACACCC